AATCATCTGTCTGGAAATATTCCTCAAACCATTGGAGATTGCCAAAGCCTCGAGTATCTCTTTTTACAAGGGAACTTAGCTATTCCTTTGTCTATGGCTTCACTGAAAGGCTTACGATATTTAGATTTATCACAAAATAATCTATCTGGATCAATTCCAAAAGGCCTACAAGACATTACTCATTTGGAATACTTAAATGTTTCCTTCAATATGCTAGATGGGGAGGTACCTAAAAAAGGTTTCTTTGGCAATACAACATAAATATCATTAATGGGGAACAGAAGGCTTTGTGGAGGCATTTCAAAGTCCAGCTCCCACCATGTCCTGTCCAGTCTATTGGAGAGAGAAAACATCTTAATTTCAAGTTGGTGGTGGCAATATGTTGTGCGATTGCTTTTTCTTCTTTTGTCATCTATTGTTGTTATTTATCACACGTTGAAAAGAAGGAAGGAATGTCCTTCAAATTCTCCAACAATTGACATTCTTTCCAAAGTTTCATACCAAAGCTTACATAGTGCTACTGATGGGTTCTCTGTCAACAACTTGATTGGATCTGGAAGTTTTGGCTTTGTATAAAGAGAATTCTTGATTCTCATGAAATTGTTGCAATAAAGGTCATCAACCTTCAAGTAAGGGGAGGTCACAAGAGTTTCATGGCTGAATGTAATGCATTCAGAAATAGAAGGCATCGAAATCTGGTAAAAATTTTAACATGTTGCTCTAGCATAGATTATAAGGGGCAAGAATTTAAAGCCCTGGTTTACGAGTACATGGTGAATGGAAGCTTGGAAAAATTGTTGCACCCAAATACAGAAGATGAAGAGTATAATCGAACTTGTTCCTTGATCAAATATTAAGTGTTTTTACTGATGTTTCGTCTGCTTTGCGTTATCTTCATTATGAGTGTGAGCAACCTCTTGTGAATTGTGATCTAAAGCCAAGTAATGTCCTTTTTGATAGCGACATGGTTGCTCATTTGAGTGAGTTTGGACTGGCAAAAATACTCTCAAATGTTGAAGGCGGCTCTAATGAACAAAGCAGCACAATTGGAATAAAGGGTACTAGTGGCTACATTCCTCCAGGGTTTTTTTTTTTAATTTAAGGTATAAAGTTATGAAACTTCTTTTTCTAAGGATTTCCTTTTTTCCTTATTTGCATTTAATGATTTAATATGCTTCATAATAACAAAATGACAATAATGTTTCAGAATATGGCTTGGGTTCAAAGGCATCAATACAAGGTGATGTGTATAGCTTTGGCATTCTTATTTTAGAGATGTTAACTGGAAGAAAACCCATGAGAAATCACATGTTTAAAGATGGTCAAAATATCCATAGATATGTGGAAAGTGCATTTCCTGTAAGCTCTTGCAAATTGTGAACCCAACTATTCGTTCTAGAGAATCAGAAGATGCAATGGTAGGATCATCACAAGACTTGTGGGAGATCACTGAACCCATTCATCCCAATGTAGAGAATTGGACTTGCTTGTTCAATGGAATCACCACATGAAAGGATGAATGGGATAGATATCATCAGGGAACTCAACTCAATCAAAAATTACTTTCCCTCTGGATGGAACTGTAGAGTAGGAAATTACATAATGAAGGATTGTCATTGTATATACTGCCACTTCCAATTTTTTGTTTTAGATGTTTCCTATCTCAGTTATGCTTTCATGCCTATGTAAAAGTGTCCAGGTGTATATATAGAGTTGTATTAATTATGGCTAATATCTTGTTGTATAATTTCATATTGGCGTTGTTTTTTTTAAAAAAAACTTTTTTGATAACAAATATTGCCGTTGTTTTAAAATTGGAATTAGAAATTTACTACTGTGACAGTCTAGAAAACGCATTCGTTCACCAATTCGAATATCAAATTAGAGTAATGGATTTGATTGCAACCAATTATATGAGATTATATTCCGGAATTACCAATTCCAGCATGAAAATCACCACCGCAATTATTAGTCTCAACTCATGAAAATCTCTAAAAGGTTTAATTATTATAAGTCATATATGTATTTATTTGAATTAGATTAATTGAATTAATTGGATATTCAGGAATGATACGAAGAATCAGGACTCTTAAGAAATGAGAAATTTTATCTTTTTAAAAGAAATGACTATTTCAAAATACATAATTTATTAGTTTATTAGGCCCTTGTCCCTTTTACTGAAATGGGTTAACCAGTAGTTCCTAAAATATATTAAAACCCAATTATGTTATTCAATCATATATTTGATGGGTTAAATTATAAGCCATAACTTTTCCAAAACCGATAGTCATTGAGCTTAGAAAAAAATATTAAATAAGCTAGATTCCTCACTAACCCCAGTTTAGTGTGATTCGCATAACTCCAGCCTCGTGAACAAATCATAATAATGGACAAGAAAAATATATATGAAATGGCCTAAAAATTAGAATCCTTCCATACATGTATAACCCAAAACTAATCCACCGGCTCAATATTTTAATCAATTAATTGAGACGCCTACTCGTTTTCGCCTAGTCTATAAAATATGGATAAGCAAACTGGGGGGGTGTAGTAGTTGTCGTATTTCACACACACGCATTACCCTCAACAAAACAATATTTATACCAACAAAATGTTGGTCCAAATAATAAAGATTTGGCTTATAATTTGCAACAAAATTGTTGGTTCAAATCTGACTACTGAAGACCTTAATGATAAGTGATTTATAAGTATCTCTTTATAAGCTTCTTTTGAATCTAGAGACATGTCTTGCCCTTGGTAATCTCTCAAACCCAACTCGATCACCAAAACTTTTCTATGTACCAAAAAATCATTTACTAGGCGAGCATCGATTTGAGGATGATACGACAATGCTTTTTAAAAGTACGTAAATCACAAGACTTTTGGTGATGTGCTGCTTGTTTAGCAGGGATGTTAGCAGCGCATTTTGTCCCAAAATCATTGGATCTTTGAGTGTACACCAACTGGGGACGGACCTGTTTGATAGTTAGAAGGGGCAAATGCGCCCACATGATACGAAAAAATTGTATATAATGATCCAAATATTTTCTTTGCCCCAAAAAAAGAATTTATTTAAAACACATTTGTCTCCTTAAAAGTTACATTTATCCCCCTAAAAATTTATTTAACTCAAATCTAATCTATGTATTATAATTTCAGATAAGGATAATTTGAGAATTGAAGGCATTAGAATTTTACAAATAATTTTTTATTTGTTTAAATAAAAATTTTCTCACAAAAAATTCCTCTACCGCATAAAAGTGGTTAAATTTTATTTATATTAGTCAGTTTTATTTAATATATCATTATAATTTTATGCTTTATACCTTATTGTTGAGTAATTATAGTATTTAACAAATTTGTACCTTCAACTTAATTTTATAAATACTTCAAATTATATTTTTAAAAAAATTAATTTTGATCTTGAATAAAAATTTTGCTCCCACTATCTAGGTTTGCGGGTCTGTCAAACCAAACTGAATTTAATTAATTACGATAGATTTGGAAACATAACTAAGCACTTGCTTTGTTGCTCAGTTTAGATCTGAAAATAATCAAGACTCAAAGCCTTAAAGCTGATCGATTTGCATGCAAGTACAAGGCCAGCGTAACGCGCGCGCGAGCGCCCCACGTGGGGGCCTAATGTTAAGGCAAACAAGCATATGATGATATGAATGATAAGTCCCACCGTCCAGCAGGACACCAATAATATCTTGGAATGAAAAAAAAAAAAAAAAACTCAAAAACAGAGGCTGCTCAGAAAAACCACCTTCTCAGATCACAAATGAAAGCGGTTTGATCTGTTTTCTGGAACACACTAGTCAACCAAACAAACAGCCACGTTCCCTTCAATATCAGATGGCAAGTGGATAAGAATAATGTATCGGGACATGTCAAATCACTAGAGCGGCTCTCAGGAACAGTCTTCTTTGGCTGCTGCATGTGCGTCATAACTCGACCTTCATGGCTCCAGCCACGGAGTTTTAGATCAGCAAATTCGTCCTCATCAGATGTTCGCTCTCAAGATCTTAGCTTGGTTCTCCTGGGAACCCTTTAATAATGTTTCTTTCCGAGTTCCCTGTGGAAAGAAAATCTTCTAAATTGACATTCATAAATTTCTGTGAATTTTTTTAATATTTTTTTATTTTATTATTTTTTCACAAAGTATAAAATATTCTTTTTTAAAAAAAGATAAATATTATAAAATTGATCTATTTTAAACTTGGGATCTATTAGCCATGATGATACTATTGCTTTTAGTATATGTTTTTACTTTGGAACTAACCTCTGTACTCTTCGTTTCTAATTAACAAATTGACGTGTTTACCCAAAAGGAAAAAGAAAACCATATTCCTTCACCTTCACCTCTCATTAATTATATTAATAATTTAATATGTTAGTTTACGATCTGAACTCTGAAGGAGTGGATTCTAAGTTAAAAATCCATGAATTTTAAGAAATTTATACTTAAAAAAGAGAGAATTTTATATTTTATAAAAAATGATAAAATGAGAAAAATATTAAAAAAATTTCATAAAATTAAAAATTCATAAATCTCAATTTCAAAGGATTTATTTCCTATACCAAGAGTTTTTCAAAGGTTTCCGTCCTACTATAACAAAATATGAACACTTCAATACCAACTTAGATATTTCCTATTAAATTTTTTTATTATTTTTTCCATTTTTCATAGGAAAAAATTATTTCTTTCAAGAATATTAAAATTTAAAGATAAAGATATTTTAGATTACATATAGGCCTTACTTCTACCTAATAATTTTTTTTTTTTTGTTTTCAAGCTTAAATTTCATACACTCTGGTCAAACAAAGGAGAATTTAACTACAAGCTTTCGTCATTCATAATGTTTTTAATCAAAAAATCGGTAATATCCATTTACTTGTTATATTAAATTGAGATAATGTCACATCTCCGTAAGCAACCATGATGGGGATATAAGAGTGTTGCTCTATATAAAGGGACATAAGTTGTTTCAGCTCTCCTCACCCTCATCAGTACCATCGATCACAAACTAAGCAAATGGCTCTCAGAGTTGCGTCGTCTTCTTTTCTTTTTCTACTCTCACTGCTTATCTGCTTTGCTGCAATCGTTACATCTGTAAGTAATCGCTACATCTTCTTTTCTTTTTCTACTCTACTTAGCTGTGTTTGATTCTGAATATTGACCGAAATGCAGGACCAGTGCCGGTACATTGTAAGAGTGAAGACAGGAGATCGCAAAGATGCAGGAACGGACTCCATCATCAGCCTCAAGTTATCATCTTTTGGCAATAGCTTTACCATCAACAACCTCCAAGATTGGGGCATCATGGGACCTGGTCATGACTACTTTGAGCGAGGCAATCTCGACGTCTTCAGTGGCAATGGCCCTTGCCTCCGTGTTTGTGGCATCACCGTCACCTCCAACGGCGAAGGAAACAAGCCGGGATGGTACTTGGATTACGTGGAAGTCACCTCCACTGGGCCAAAGGTAGCGTTCCCGGTGAACCAGTGGCTAGCTCTTGATGAATGGCCCCATCATCTGTACGCCAACGTGAACTTATGCTCCCGCGCCAAGCCAATCAAGTAATCAAGATGGCATGAGATCTGGATTCTTGAGTTTGAGCCGCACTCTACTCTCTGCTGTGTGACCAATGCTTGATTAGCAAAATCTAATTAAAGTATTCGACTTTTGTTGGTGTGTTGTGTTTTATGTGTAATGTCCCTTCATTTCAATAACGACCTGCCTTTGTGGGGCAAGCTTGTCTGCTTGACCTCCACCAATTAGAAGGCCGACGTGTTCAATATCTTTATGTATGAGAACTGAAATTACAAACGCTATCTATCAAACAGAATACTCGTTCCCAAGAATCAATATCCGAATTCATAATGGTAGTACAGGGGCAGAGAGAACTAATTAATATTTTTAAAAATGCAAGGAGTACTTTTACATCCATGAGATAACCACCCATTAAAAAATATTGTCAACCGTCATTTGTCTTGGTTGCAACGTCACTTCTCTTTCTTGGAAATGGCCCTAAACTCGAACCTAGCATTGATATGGTTGAGTGTGTGCATCTCTCTTTTCATTAAAAAATAAAAAAGGGCCTAGGTTGGACACAAAATTAAAAAAAAAAAAACAACAAAAGATTTTCACTACGATTTTGTGCTTTCGAGTCTCATGTATATAAAGACTCTTTCATTAAAGTTAATAATTAACATTAGTGTCTGATAATCAAATTAAAGCACAACATTATATTGATTTTGATATTTGACAGATAACATTGTTTTAATAAATAACTTAGGATGCCCATTATTTCTCGAGAAATGTTAATTCTAAACATTTCAAAATGTTGATTTTGCCTATTCTATTGTCCTTTAATTCGAAGTTCTCGCAAGAGATGTTCATCCTTCTTCGTTTTTTTTTTTTTTTTCCCTTTTGGAAACAAAGACGAGGGGAAAAAAGCCTTAAAGAGAACCAATAAGGTCTCAACAAGTAAGTTTCTACAATCTTGAAGAGACTCCTTCAAAGTTGTAGATTCTGAGTCCAAGCGACGAGCAAGCTTTGCGATGAAATCTGCACAGGTATTGACTTTCTTATATACGTGCTTATACATAACCTCTTAATCTCTCATCAAAAGATTTCTGATATCTTGTACATTACAGTATCGCAAATCAGGTGCTTGCTATCATAGAAGTTCATGATTCTATGGGTAGCTAGCCTCCATAGAATCCAAACACAGGTTAACCTTCTTAAATCCATGATGCCAACAAATTAAAGCTGTAAGCCCTCATGAATGGCAATAAGTTTTGCTTTCGTGCTTGGAATGTAGCCAAGTTTCTTTGCAATGCCAAATATGCTGGAATATTTTAAATATATATAGTGGATTTACATTAATTAATTATTGAGTCCAGAAAAGATTGACCCTTTATAATCTTGTGTGGACTATAATAAGTAGATCACATAAGTTAACTTATTTAGGCAAAGGCTCAGCCTATGACCTTTTAACTGTTTATTTTATCCCTATTAAAAGCTGATTAAATTAATTAAATAATTATATTTAAGTGGTAAGGATCATAATCTTAAACATATCTACTGCAAAAAAGGCTTGGAGCACTTATATATTTTGAACGTATATGCTCATTACCCTTGATAGACTTATTCTCTCCATTCTACATTGTACTCTCATGCTTGCTATTCATTGCACTTTTGAGGTAATCGAGGTCCTTACTTGAATTTATATTTTTTCTGGGAAAAATGATTTCACAAATACGCTCATTAAATTCTACTGTAATCATTTTATTTAATTGTTGTGATATTTTTTGACATGTGGCATTAGAGTATCGTGGAAAATATTTATATTATTTTTGAGAATTAATTATCATTTTTTCGATGACAGAACTAACTATCTTTGATTGGTTGAAATTGTGAGTCTTAAAGTCTCAATTTAAAGGGGGGGTTTGTAGTTCCATGCCATTTTGCACTTTTAGTTATACAGTGTAAAATTTAATATATATTGTCAAAATGATTTTCCAATTTTCAAATCATTTACTTGTTTCCACATGTGTACATTTGTTAATTAACAAGTATCTATATACATTTAAGAAGCAAAACACATGTTAATTAATAAGTTCAAAAACTTGACATGATCTTGGATTGTGGAAAGGAGCAAAGTGTGGGACCTGTTTCAACAAGGATGCATTTATTAATTAATAAGCCATGTTCGGTCTTTTAGCGTGTTAATCAACAAGCTCAAAAACTTAAGATGGCTTAATTATATTGTGAAAAGGGACAAATGTGAGACCTATTTTAACAAGAATGCATTTATTAATTAATAACAAAAGTATCCATGTGCATTATTTAACAAAGCAAGGGCATGTTAATTGCATAACCAATCTAAAATATAGATACTAAATGTGTTTTCTTTTTTCCACTAGTGCTACTTGTTGATTGACAAATTAACACTTGCTGAACAACTCCTACACTTGCCTTGCAGCTCCCAAAAACTAGCTCTGTCATACTTTTGAATTTGTTAAGCACATGTACTTATTAATTAATGAATGTATGCTTGTTGAAGCAAGTCCTTCTCATAACCTAGTCCTATCACATTTTTGAACTTGTTAATTAATGCATAATGAATACACACTTGTTGAAACAAGTAAATGATTTTAAAATTAAAAAATTAAATTGAGAATATATATATTAAATTTTGCACTATATAATTAAAAGTGCATGATAGCTTAGTGGCTAATTATATATCGAGAATAATTATTTTTATAATAAATTTTAATTATATTTAGGTCTTTTATTTTTACAGAGTAAATTCAAAATCTTATAGTTCTTTTTTGAAATAAATAATCTTGGGAGTTCTTTGAAGGTAATTTTTCCAATAATCTTTAACCAAGGTTGCAAGTATTGCCAAAAGACTACAATACCCTTGCTATGCAAGTTGATCACTTCTAACTAAAAAGCGCGCAAGCCGCGAACTTGTTCAAAATTTTCTTCCTCAAGTATCGGACCCTTACGTCTCTTTCTCTACCTCCGTTGCTAATCACCATAAACATGATTGCACATTTCCAAATCCACGATTACGACATTATCAACAATGGCGAACCTCTCAGAGACCTACGCTTGTGCGCCTTCCACCGAACGTGGACGGGGTATCCTCATTTCCGGCGACCCGAAATCCAACAACTTTCTGTACTGCACCGGGCGATCCGTCATGATCCGCAACCTAGATAACCCGCTTCAGGTTTCCGTCTACGGCGAGCATGGCTACCCGGTCACGGTGGCGCGTTACTCTCCCAATGGTGAATGGATTGCGTCAGCAGATGTCTCCGGCAGCGTTCGGATCTGGGGCACCCATAACGATTTTGTTCTCAAGAATGAGTTCCGGGTCCTTTCGGGTCGGATCGATGACCTTCAGTGGTCCGCCGACTGTTTGAGGATCGTCACTTGCGGGGATGGCAAAGGGAAGTCCTTTGTCCGTGCTTTTATGTAAGTGCTTATCATTATTTTTGTTCTTCGTACTTTGGAATTATTCTATTTAGGCTTGAATCAGAGTCTATTAAGCCATGCCTTCTGTTATAGTAAAGGAGAGTATGACTAAAATGAATAATTCATTATCTGGCTCTTGGGCCTGAACAAACATAGCAGAATAATATCTTACAATATGACTCTCCTAATAATATATATATACAATCCGAATTGAGAAAGAAAAACAAGAAGGCCTAAAAGCTTAAAAACAAACCAGGCCTAATATTAACTTTCAATACTCCCCCTCAAATTAGAACCAAACAAATTTAAAGTTTCTAACTTGATTAATAAATTCTCATGGCTACTTGTTGATCTGTTGAAGAAATAAGCTTGAGTGTAATTAATCCTGCTTGCAACTTGTCCCACACAAAATGATAATCTATCTCAATGTACTTTCCACGTTCGTGGAACATTAGATTAGAGGCAATCTGCATAGTTGCCTTACTATCACAATATATTACAACAGGCTGATAATAAACAATTTCTAAATCTTCTAACAAACCAGTTAACCAAACAATCTCAAATACAATGTTGCCTATTGCTGGATACTCAGCTTCTGCAAAGGATGGTGACACTGTATTTTGCTTTTTAGACTTGCAAGAGATAGGAGCTCCTCTTATCTTAATCAAGAAACCTGTGACAGATCTTCAAGTATCAGCACAGGCTCCCTAATTTGAGTCACAGTGCCCTTCAAGCTAGAATCTACTTCTGAAAAGGGAAAGAATATTGCTCTTCCTGGATCCTTCTTCAAGTATTTGATGGCATTCATGGCTGCCTTGAGATGTGATTTCCTTGGATTACTCATATATTGGCTTAAGACTTGCACAGTATAACTCAAATGTGGACAAGTCATGGTTAGATATAACATTTTCCTTATAAGGTGTCTATATTTGGTGGGATCAGCCAAAAGATCATCTCTCTCCCCCTTCCTAGGTGCGCTAAACAACTTTAAACCCTAATTCATAGGTGTATTTCTAGGCTTGGCAGCTCCCAAACCTGTATTAGCAATTAAATCAAGTACATACTTTCTTTGGTTTAAAACTAACCCCTTTGCTAATTCAGCTATCTCTAAGCCGAGAAAATATTTTAAAGGACCTAAATCCTTAGTTTTAAAATTGCTATGAAGACAATCTTTTGTTTATTGTATATAACTCTCAGAATTTTCAACTATGACCAATTCATCCACATAAGTAAGAATAACAACAAAATCATTTCCTTTTTGCTTAGTGAACAAAGAATAATCATGTTTACTTTGTACAGAACCTCTAGCAATCAAAAATTTAGACAATTTCAAGTTCCACTATCTGAAAGTCTATTTAAGTCTACATAGAAACTTAACTAGCTTATAGACTTTTGTTTCTCCCTGTTTAGCAAAGCCTGGGGGTATTTTCATAAACACTTCTTTAATTAAATCACCTTGTAAAAATGCATTGTCAACATTCATTTAATACATAATCCAATTATTTTTCACAGCAAGTGTCAAATTAAAATAGCCCTAGCACTAATCATCTTAACAACAGGAGAGAAAGTGTCGAAATAGTCCACCCCTTCTACTTGACTATTGTCACGCTCCAAAAATAGAGGGTGACCGACACAGGTGTGAACCACATCACATATCCCCATAAGCCTTAATTTGAACATTCAATCCATTTTCAAAATATAATTACACTCATATTGAAATTTTAATAATCATATTATTAATCATCAACATAAAAACTTTAGCATTTTTATAAAAATTTTGGTAAAACCTCCCCTATAAATAGAATCTTCTGAAAATTTAATAGTACAAGATTGTTCACAAATTATCATATGAATCAGGAGCTTAGCTCCTTCCAGTCAACAGATAGCATATGTGTGTGTGTGTGTGGAGCATATAACCATTCTTTTTCAAAATAAGTACATGGGCACTTATAATTATATAAAAGAGAGGGATTTCAATCAATTCTCCACCCAACATGTCTAAAGATCCTCAGGGGTTAGAAGGAAAATCAGTGTCAACTAAGGTATTTGAGACCAATAATAATTTTCCAGTAAATAACGTCCCAACAATAAAATAAAACATGAATAAAAAGAAAAGTTTAAAATAATTGTGTGAGTTAAAGAGAGAAAAGCTTTCATAAATATTTAATAAACTTCAAAATAGAATGGCTCTATAAAATTTTAAAATTAAATCTTAAATCACTGAATTATCATGACAAATGTTAATATGACTTGATTCCAAGAAAGCACTTAAATGAAATAAATATTTATAAATACATCGTTAAATAAAACTAAGGGATATAAAATCATCAAATAATCAAATATATAATTTTAGGGACTTATCAGAATAATTAACAAACGTGGACACACAGTCTACGAGAGTAAATAACCAAACGCGGCTTATGCTACGAAAACAAACGTGGACACACAATCCACGAGGGTAAGTAACCAAACACAGTCAAAGCTACGAAAACAAACGTGAACACATAGTCCACGAGAGTATATAACCAAATACAGCTGAAGCCACGAAACAAACGTGAGTACGATGCTCAGGAGTAACCATCCCTCCATTCCACTTGCGTTGGCTATCGCACGAGACTAGCACCTCCTATGAACACCTTACTAGCTAGGTATACCATGGCGCGCCAAGGGCCAATAGAACTGCCGTTAGCAACCAGTGTTCCATATAAAGTCCCCTTTTTTTTAAAACCATTTTCAAACATGCGAGAAAATCATCACTTTCAAGATATAGTTCTCATTCTCAAAATTAAACTCACATGAATACTTTTAAGCATTGAAACTTTCTAGAATAAAATTTCATATCCAATGCTCATGCTTGCCTTTATCAAATAATCAAAAAAAAAATCAAAGTTGAACTTGCAAGAATCATTCTCTGTATTAATCTAATATTTGATAAAATAAAAATCTCACAATCAAAGTCCAAACTTGATTTAATTGATCAAATAACATTTTAAATTTGGTAAAATTAATTTCTCAAAATAAAGCAATGTTAATCAACAAATATCCAATAATCACATTAATGCTATTAAAATAATTTTCATAAAAATGTAATATTTTAGTAAAGAAAATTTTAATTGAAAATCAGTTGAGACGCTATCTACTTACCTGAGAGTTTTTCAATAATTTCTAAAGCTTACTCCTCTTCAACTTCTCACTTATATCTCGAATGCTTCCATGGAATTCCTAATAAATAAATTATAATTCTAAAATCACTTATTAAGGAATTTCTAAGCACTTGGTGACATTCAAATTCAATCCCAAAATAACATCACAGCCTAAAATATAGAATAATAAATTCATAACTAATTTAGTAATTTATCAAAAATTCAACTAAAGCAAGAGAAGAATTTTCCATCCCTTTTTTGTTTTCCTTCTTAAAGATTAATAAAGTTCCACAATTATCATTTAATTTAACACAATATACTCTAGGTACTTTAGGATCCCAATTTAACGATAAAATCACTACTTACACATATTCCTTCAAAATTAGGTATATGAAAATTAAACAACTTGCATTTTGTCAAGTTCCTCTCTTAAACATCTCAAGCTTAGCACCACATTGCCTAAAAACACAAACAATCACATGCATACATAACTAAACTTTTATTTAGAAATTAACTATTTTAATTCAATCAAATTACTCTTTTAGGCTTTTTAACAAATACTTTGTAGGCATCCTAATTGACTCATAAATAAATGTTTCCCTAGCCCTCTATCAATAATTCTTCTTCTTCTATTTCCCTCCTTTTTCTCTTTTTTTTTGTTAACTTTCAAAATTTTTAATTTGCTAAGAGCTCAATCCAATCCAATTCAACTTTCAAACCAAATTTCATTTAGTGACAAGTTCTAATAAACCATCCTAACTTGAAGATGTAAGCAAACACTCACTCAACCAATAATACCCAATATATATATATATGGGGGCATACTGTAGGACAAAGAAAAGTGGAAACAAGTGGTTAAATTTAGAAGGTTCTTCACGGCAGCCACAATCACAATGATGCCAACTCAAATTCAATGACAATCGAAGGGAGGAGGTGGACTGATCGAAAATTAAGGGAGCATGAGGGTTTGAACTTACATAGCCAACAACAACAAAACAAGAAGTGAAGATGAGCTTACCACACACCTCGACGCAAACAGCCAGCAGCTGCAAGGGAGGAGAACAACATGAAAACACGAAGCAATGGAAAAAATTTCATGAGGAGAACGACAGGAAAATGTGAAGCAATGGCAAAAATTTTAGCAACTCTCAGTGGCAAGAAAAGTAGAGTACTACTCACCTCTAGCTAACACAGAACAGCATGATGATAGGGAAAGAGAATCAACAATCTAACTCCACTATGGCTAGTGTACACGAACGAGAAGGATGGCAGCAGATGAAGCAACAGCAGTGACAGAAGCACCCCTTCAACGGCAAGCTAAAGAAGTTGATGAGAGTCAGAGAGATGAACCGACTATGAGTGTCTAGAGAAGTGTATAATGGCGGTGAAGAAATGAAAATGGGATGCTCTATTTTTTTTAATTCATGAGAATAAGTAAATCTGATATAAGAACTTTTCAGGAAAATTACAAGAAGGAGCACGAAAAAAATCACAACAAAAGGCACACAAAATTTACCAGAAAGAGCACAAATTTTTTTTTATTATTTAAATCCAGACTTTTGCTAGAAAATTTTGAAATCTGAATCCTTGAAAAGAATTTCCAACATAAATTCCTATAAACTACCCCTTTCTACTTATTATAAACTTTATTTAAATAATACATCCATTGTGAGAAAAAAAATTGTTCAATTTAAAATTTAGGGTTCTTACAACTATATCCCTTAGCAACTAGTCTAGCTTTTAGTTTATTAAGGGTTCTATCTACATTATATTTCTTTTTAAACACCCACCTGCATCCTATGGCCCGTTTACCTTTTAGAAGATCTACAATCTTCCAAGTTTTGTTTTGTTATAAGGCATCAATTTCATTTTTCATAGCATCTACCCACCTACTATAACTAGTAGCTTCATTATAAGTACTTGGTTCAATAATTTCATCAATACAAGTAATGAAATTTCTATAAGATGAAGAAACATTTGCATAACAAATGCTATATTGAATTTGATATAAGACTTTCTTCTTACTATGAGTTTGTACATTATTCAAGTGTTCTATACCTAAGCATTCATAATCCCTAAGCCAACTAGGGGTTCCTATACATGATGGGACGAGACTGTTGTGCGGTAGAAGACTCATTATTAGCTTTAGTGTCAAAAACAAGGTCATAAGGCATTTTCAGGTGCAAGTAAGAATCATATTCATTTGGAATATTTGTAGGTATACTAGTTCCAAGCATATTTTATATATATATATATATATATTAAATATCATATTCAGTATCAAATAAGAAAGGATCATGTGGCTATGATACAAGATGTTCTCCCCCTTGATCAGAAAGCATTGAAATTTTGTCTTTGTAAGGAAACTTATTTTCAATAAAAATGACTTCTCTACTAATAATAAACCCATCATCCTTAAGACTGTAGAGAATATAACCCTTTTAATGACTAAGATAATAAAAAAATATGCAAGGATTGGATCTTAGTTGAAATTTATCTATTCTAGTCAAATTCTTTACATATGCTAGATACCCAAAGGTCATTAAGTGACTCAAATCAAGTTGTTTTTGATGAATCAACCCATAAGGAGTCTTGTAGTTAAGTAGCCTAGAGGGAGTCCTATTAATCAAGTAAGTTGCGGCTCTTATACTTTCCCCCAAAATCTAATAAGAATATTAGCTTGAAATATTAGACTTCTAGTAACTTCTAAGATGTGCCTATGCTTTCTTTCAATTGGCCCATTTTGTTGAGGAGTGTAAGAGAAAGAGGTTTCATGTACAACTCCATTATTTAAAAAATAATTGGTGACATTTTTGTTAAGAAATCCTATCCCATTATCATTGTGAACCCTTTTAATATGTGCAAAAGATTGAGTTTTCACATAAGCAAAGAAAACCTAGATGTATGTAAAAACTTCACTTTTACTAGTTAATAAATAAACCCATATATCCTATGACATATCATCTACTATAGTAAGAAAATAACAATATCCTTGATGAGTATGTTCTTTATAAAGTCCCCAAACATCCGGATAAAGTAAATCAAAACAATAAGTAGATTTATTATGACTAACGGGAAAAGGTAATCTAGGTTGCTTTGCTTGCAAACACACATCATAGTTATTATTTATGGGAGGTAACGTATCATTCAACAAATTCCAATGTTTAAGTACATGAAATGAAGCATGGCCTAGCCTTAGATGGCATAATTCATCAAAAGAAACAGTACTACATGTATAGAAGTCTTAAATTCTTCAACTATATAAAGTCCTAATTGTATTTTACTAATCATCCTTATGTTCCCATTGTAGAGATCCTATATAAAACACACACATTAGGGGAAAAAAGCAATAACACATTGTTGCTCATGAGTAAGACATGAAATAGAAATTAAGTCATAACATAGCCCTGGTACATACAAAACATTATGTAACACAGTATTATCAAACAAGGTAAACTGATCTAGTATAAGTTAGTTACTTTCAATTTATCATCATTAAGAATTCAAATGTTTAAAGATAGGCCAGTATATGCTTCATATTTATCAAGGAAATCTAAACAACTAACAATGTGACTTGTTGCTCCTGAGTCTAAAATTCAATAAGCAGTATGTGAGTGCTGTAAAGAAAGAATGGCATGAATCAAACCTAATGACTCATAAGAGCCATGAGTGGCAATTGTTCTAATAGTGGGGGTTGTGTTCACCTCCTTTAATTTGAGGATGTTCTCATAATCCTTTTGTGATAGCATTTGTTACTGTTGAGATGAGTTGATTGAAGAGTCATTATTCACCCCGAAAGCTTCAGCTTGATTTATTTGCCTTACTAGAGTTCCTCTGCCTCTGCCATATTAGAAGTGTGGCGGAACTCCATTAATTTGAAAGCAGTTTTCTCTTTTATGCCCATGACGATGGCAATAAGAACATTCCTCTAATGAACTCCCATGAGCACGACCCCTTCAAAATCTTCTTTTGCCTCTAGCAGCCATGGTGGATCCCTCAATATAATTATGAGGTGATAAAGATGAAGATATTAGACCTCATTGCATCTTTTCTTGGCACCCCATTGAATATGCTTGATTGACCATGGGGAGTAGATTCAAAAGTAATATTTGACTTTGCACATTTTGATATGATGGATTAAGCCCTATTAAGAACTGGAACAACCTCTATTGTTGAATGATTTTGGTGTATTCGATGGTGGGATTGCATTAACAACTGGGAATAGCCGAATTGCCAAATACTCCTCCCATATCTCCTTAAGATGAGTGAAATAACCAAATACTGTCATTGAATCTTGAGTGAGAGAATAAATCATATGATGTAAGCTATAAATTTTCATTCCATTTGTAATGTTAAAATGTTCTTGTAGATCTTGCTAGACTAAATTTGCATCTTTAGAGAAAATAATACTTGCAAAAATTTCCTTTAAGACAGAATTAATTAACCAAGAAAGGACTACCGCATTGCATTGATCCCATTGGGCACGAAGACTCTATTCTTGTTTATCATGAGTGCATATGCCATCGATGATGCCTATCTTGTTTCTTTCTCAGAGGGCCATCTTCATTGCTCTGCTCCAGATCAAATAGTTTGTTGCTTTAGTGAGAGGTTGCATGACTAAGGTTGTCATCTAGGTTTTGGAAGGATGAAGAAAGAGGGGATGATTTAGGTTGAGAGTAGAAGATTTACCTTTCTTGGTAGTAATTTCTTCGTCAGATGGCATCATAAACAATAATGATTAAAAGAACCAAAGAAGAGGTGGAGAAGCACGATTCAGATCGACAACTATAGAGATGGGTCGAAAAGGTTTTCTTTGTTTTTCTTTTTGTGTTTAAGGTTTTCTTCAAGTGAACGAATGAGACACTTTTAGGGATGACGACTCAGAATGGATCAGGTTGTAGAAGCCTGAACCTTGCTCAAATACCATAAAGGAGAGTATGACTAAAATGAATAATTCATTATCTGGCTCTTAGGCCTGAACAAACATAGCAGAACAATATCTTACAATATGACTCTCCTAAAAATCATATACAATCCGAATCAGGAAAGAAAAACAAGAAGGCCTAAAAGCCTAAAAACAAACTAGGCCAATATTAACTTTCTATATATAGTAACTAGATTCTTAGGATGAAGGATCGGAGTTCGCATGGCTCTAGGATCTAAGATCAAGCACCCAAAAATTAAAAACAAAAAACAAAAAAGAAATTGCACTTGTTAGTTGGAAATTTTGACATTTGATTTAAATCCAAGAATCACCCCAAAGTCGATAAGATCAAAGAAGAAATAGTTTCTTTTCATAACTTCTCCGATTCTAAGGAGTAAGGAGTACGATTAAATTCCTCATGACACTTCATATGTGGAAATAACCAATACACTTTGGCGTGCGTGCGTGTGTATTATTAGATAATACAGAATCTTATTTTCCCTTATATAGATGATCAAGATACTTATGTCTGTGTATCTAATAATATAGTACATCCGTTCTTAAAAGGTTATTATGAATTAGTTACTCAAATTTCCATTTTTCCTTAGCAAAATTTGAAACATCAATATTGGTCAATATCATCACTATAAAATATAAAAAGTCGAGGGAGCTACAACCAAGGGCGGTCCTATATAGTGGCCAGTGTGGGCAAATGCCTCCTTAAAATGGAAAAAATTACATTGATTTATATGGTAAATTTTGCATTCTACCACCAATCATCTCTATTTTTTTAAACCCATTAAAATATAGCTTAAATGAAACCACCATTAAAACCTTATATTGAATAAATCGCCCCTGACTCAGGGTCCTAAATTTGCCATTGGCTGCAATAGCTCGCCTTGAATTCTCTAATACGTGGGGCGCTCTAATTTTCATTATTCAAACTCTTAGTTAAAATAATGTTGCATCCAAGTGATAACCAAAAAAGTTTTTTTTTTTTTTTTTTGGTTGGGGGGTTAATATTTTGCCCAATCATCAAAGTTTACGTATACGTATCTCTTCATTTCTAACTTGACCTAAGGTCTTGAGTCACGTTTAGGAGACTGCCGTTTTACAGTTTTGAAGCCTTATTTCCTGTAAACGGTAAACCTACATGGTTGTGATCAGGGTAATCTCCTAACTTTGATTTGATATATATTTATTTAGCTCTTTGGGTCTGGATGCCATTTAGTTTCCTGTTCTTGTCCGATTTCATATTTATGCAAGGTCTGCTTTTTAAAATTTGGTTGACCATCTTGTAAGCTACATTACCGTCAAGAATTGAATCCGTGTACTACTACACGTTCATTTTCTCCTCGCTGTACCTCATGTGAATCATTTCGTATCTTATATTTTATGCTTAGGTGGGATTCAGGGAGCACTGTTGGGGATTTTGATGGTCATTCACGGCGGGTTTTAAGCTGTGCATTCAAACCAACAAGGCCTTTTCGTATTGTCACATGTGGTGAAGACTTTTTGGTAAATTTTTATGATGGTCCTCCGTTCAAGTTCAACATGTCCATCAGGTATTTATTATTGTTATATATGATTCCATTTGTCTAATAAAGAATGGGGGGTTACATATAAAAATTTGGCTATTACAAATTTACAATAGATTTCATTCATTTAAAATACAGATAAAAAATCAACTAAAATTTTCTTTTGAAACACACGCCCAAATCCAACAGGGAACGGGTGTGTCAGATATTATAATAAAAGTAATGAGCCTTCATATAACAGTTTAATCTTTTAAGTGGAATTTTCACTTGAAGTAAGTGGAGGGGGTTCATAAAACCCTGAATTTCTGTTTGATAAATATTTCTTTCTCCTTGTTTATTCTTACAACTGCATTTCAAATGGGAACAGAGACAGTTTAACCTTCATCTTGGGATGATTCAAGAAGAGTTGTTGTTTTGACAATGTTGAACAAATGATCTTGTTCTTGTAGCTCATCTAACTGTCTCTATCCTCTTGTGCACACAATACATTGTCGGACTGAGAATGCTATATTTCGATCATGTATCAGAAGTTTTATGTGGATATAAATGCAACGGTCAAACTCAATGTTCTAAAAATTAAATTGAACATTGAACTGTAAAGCAAATGGTTCAACGTTGAGTAGTCTGACTGTCACTGATTGATAATTGATCTAAGTTTTCCTTTTAAAAAAAACTCATATATGACTATATGTGTCTTTTTCCTGGCCCTATCATTCGAACCTGCAGTTCGATTTCCCTAAAAACTTTGTACACATGTTGACAGAAATGTGACTGCGTGTGTAGTTACAATTTAGGAAATGACAATGGAAGATATTGTTGATCTGCAGGGAGCATTCAAATTTTGTGAATTGTGTTAGATTTTCCCCTGATGGGACCAAATTCATAACAGTAAGCTCAGACAGAAAGGGTATCTTATATGATGGGAAGACTGGGGAGAAACTTGGCGAGTTGTCTGCAGAGGGCAGCCATAAGGGCAGCATATATGCTGTAAGTTGGAGTTCTGACAGTAAACAGGTAACAAGAATATAGATGTTTCAAGAGTTTGTATATGATTCACAAACGAGTTCATTAAAATAACCAGTATGGGTGATCAAAACCTAATCAGGCTTTTCGAGCATTTTTAAGAGCTTCATCATATTTACTATACTGAATCCATTAAAACCATCATAAAAAGAATATATCCATTTGAATTGCAATTACTCGTTTTTCCTATGAGGAAGAATATGTTATGATCCTTTCTTTTTCTATCATTTATTGATGTCTTAAACTTCTATCCCATGCATCAATTCCAGGTGCTTACTGTGTCTGCTGATAAATGTGCAAAGATCTGGAATATTCTTGAGGACGGAAGTGGAAGTTTAAATAAGACTTTATCGAGTTCTGAATCTGGTGGGGTGGAGGATATGCTTGTTGGTTGCCTTTGGCAGAACAATCATCTTCTTACCGTCTCCCTCGGTGGCATGATTAATTTATATTCAGCAACCGATTTAGATAAAAGCCCAATATCATTATCTGGCCACATGAAAAATGTTGCTGTTTTAACTATAATCAACAGAAGTGAAAAGATGCTTTTGTCCTGTAGCTATGATGGGGTGATCTTAAAATGGATTATAGGCGTTGGTTGCTGTGGTAAATTAGAGAGTAAACAATTCGGATTAATTAAATTGTTAGCAGCTGATGAAGAAGAAGTCATGACAGCTGGATTTGACAACAAGGTAAGTAGGTAACTGAAAAATTAATCATTCATGATTTGGGCTGTCAAAACCTGTAACATATCAAGGCCCAATATAGCTTTGCCTCTTGCTTCTCTGTAAGCATTGGAGAAAGAAGGAGCTTAGTTTCTCTTTTAAGTTAAGATAGTTATTGCCTCAAATTTTAAAGTATTTTTCATGTGCAATTTTTGGAATGAAGGTATGGAGGGTTCCTTTGCAAGGGGGTGATTTTGGAGCTCCAGAGCAAATAGATGTTGGCAGTCAGCCAAAGGACTTGAGCCTTTCCCTTAATTCTCCTAAACTCGCTTTGGTAGCAATTGAATCTGGGATCGTTTTGCTTAACGATTCAAAAATTGTCGCAACTCATAACCTAGACTTCACTGTGACCGCATCTGCAATTTCTCCTGATGGGAGTGAAGCAATTGTAGGTGGGCAAGATGGTAAACTGCACATATATTCTATCTCAGAAGACACACTTACAGAAGAGAAGGTCCTTGAAAAGCACCGGGGTGCTATCAGCGTGATAAGATATTCTCCAGATGTTACCATGTTTGCTTCAGCTGACTTGAATCGTGAAGCTGTTGTTTGGGACCTTGACTCCAAAGAGGTAATTTGAGCCCCAAACATTAGTTACATTTTGATAAGAAATATGATACAGTTATATTTGCAGATTTAGAGTTCAGTTATGATAAAGTTGTTTGAAAATGAAAACGGTAGGTTTGAGTATAAACACATTATCCTTGTGAAGAGGAGGTTATAATTAAATTCTCATATTCCAGGTTCTCAATAACATATTTTGAAATGGTGAGATAATTTGTCAAAGAGATCAGTCCTTTTCTTAAGCTGCCATCTGACTTTGAAAGTTATCTCTTGCAGGTGAAGCTTAATAACATGTTATTTCACACCGCACGAATTAACTGCCTAGGTTGGTCACCTGATAACACCCTCATAGCTACAGGGTCACTTGATACATGCATCATCATATATGAAATTGGAAAGCCAGCATCAAGCCGAAGAACCATAAAAGGAGCTCATTTAGGTGGAGTCTACGGGTTAGCTTTTATTGATAATGATAGTGTGGTCAGTTCTGGAGAAGATGGCTGTATTCGCGTTTGGAATTTGGCTTCGGAATAAACTTACGATCAGAACAACTACTAGTATCCTGCCTTCAAACACATAATTCAGTGTGCGGTAAAGAAATGTGTAGTTCTATCTTGCGTTCAGATGTTCAATGATCTGCACTGTTGGTGGGAAGGAAATTACAGGTTACACTGTGCTTGTGCAGTATCTCTTGTGCAGTATCTTTATAGATACATGTTAGGACTGACCCATCATTCAATCTGGATTTAGATCTTCTTAGTTATCCTTTAAAGGAACTTTAGTTATTGCCATAGAAGCTGTCAATGTTTTCAAGCTAGAATGAATAGAGAGGGAAAAGCACTGGAGGGCGAAAGAACATTTCAGTATTGACTTGCAAGCACACATTGTGTAAGATGATGTTCTCTGCAGATCAACGCAGAGAAAAAGAGATTATAGTACAATAAAAAAAAAATTCTTGCTAGTATTTCTCTTTTCAAAATTGAACGATTCTTTGCATTTTAATTGACTGTCAAGCACATCTTGGGATAATACCGACCTAATCATCTTTGATGATTTGCTCTCACTGGGTCTAGAAATATTATGCACTTTGATATGACCTTAGTTTCTAATTTTTGCTCGGTTCCCCATGGTATTTAGTTTCTTCTTTTTGCCCGGTTCCCGTGGCCTGTATTTAAAAAATAAATAAAAATTGACTGTCAAGCATGTTTATCAGCAGCAGCCAGGCCACTCATAGCAGGTCTTAGTACTTCTGTTCAATGGTCTAATTGCTGGTTTGTTAATTAGACTGGTTGATTATGTAAAATTATTAAAACGAATCATGCGCAAGGAAGAAAGATACATTCAATACAGATGACATCTTGAAAGTTCAAATTCAAACCTTAAATTTTGAACATAATTGGGTCCCTAGGCTTGTTAAATTCTCACTAGTCCGTTTCGGCCATAGAAGGCATGTACTCGCCTCGACTCTGCAATGCCAATGCTTATTGCCCTGTCATTCATTTATGGATTTGGATCCTCTCATGCGAGATAAATGACTCTCACGATACCAAACATGGAATATGGACAAATTATAGCTTAAGTGGTGGGTCTCACCTGAATGGCTCCCACAGAATCCGTGGGTCCCACATGCCTGTTTTCATTTGTTTGAACCTCTTGTGGCATTTTCATGTTTTATCTCCCCACGTTGATTCGAAATCGCCATTTGACATGTTCGATGATCTACGATAACTGTGCTTTTCTATGTGATTAACTGTCTGCTAGTGCAGAAACATGACTTTCTACTGTGGCTGTACCTCACAGCCTCTGTAGCAAATACAAAGAAAGAAAAGTCAGTGGTTTACCTCAATCTGGCAATGGAGGTGAGTCACTCATGCTGCCATCTTACTTTTGGTTCATGATAAATTTCTTTGGTAAATCCAATCCGCAACAATTGACAGAATCAATTATTAATAGACATGTAGTGTGACCGTTGGTCAAAAAAAAAAAAAAAAGGAAGCGTAGTGCGACCCACTTTTAACATGCTAATTTTCCTGTCTGGCGTCTCTTCTTTCTTCTCACTCTTCCTCTCTTGGTTAGTCATTGAGCAACTCATGCCAACTTTTGACAGTCAGATTTGTTTGCTTGATTAAACTTTAGCATCCAAAATTAGAATATTAATTATATAATGTTGAAATTTGATCTAAACGATTCAAGAACCAGGCATGGAAGAGAATGAGAGGAAGGAGAGAAGCCATTTTCCCTGGTTTTCTGACACTAGGATTTGCCTAGAACTTAGCTTGTTTCATGACAGTGGGAAATTACAGCCATGGTGGTGGTTTTCATAAGTGCCTGGCTCTTGTGATGTTTTCCTTTTCTCTTCTCAATCCCATGAACTGGCTTGGAATGTCCCATTCAATTTGTTAGTTAGTGAAGATATAACATTAATACAGTTAGAAAAGCTATTGGGTTAAGAATTCTAAAACCTTAAGGCGGCATAATGTTACGGAGATTTTCTTTCTTTTTATTTAGCCATGCGCAAATTCACTGAATATTTATGAAGCATTTGGTAGGTTGATCATGTGATTTACATGAGAAATACTCTCTAAACCAACGTTATCAAATGCTAAAACCATGTAGGCATGTTCACTAGTGGAAAAACGTATCTTATTAGTTGTAAATGACAAGAAATTATGAAATTTTGACTTGTAACTATTAAATGTTTAATTGGGCTAGTAGATTATGTAATTTCACTTGTGACTGTGAAAGTATAACTTATAAATATTAAACTATTAAATTGAACATGAAAATGAAACTACGTGACTTGTAGGTAAGAAAGTTAAAAAATGAATCTATATGACTTGTAAATATTAAACTATTAAATTGGCACTGCCCACCGGTCAATACAAGCCATCAACAAGTGCTCAAATGATCAAATTTCAATTAACGATTAGTTGTCGTAGTGCATGGTACCGCTATCTCTCTTGCTTAGAAGAAGAGATTCCAAGTTTAAACATGATGTTAGACATGTTTATGTGTACTCTCTTCTCTCCAAAATACTTTTTCTATTTAAAAATATAAAGTATTTTTTAAAAAACTAAATATTTAAAAATATAATGTATTTTTTAGTTTTTCAAAATATAATCATTATTTTTTTTAAAGTGTCTCTTTTAAATAAATTACTTTATATTAATTTTAGTATGAAAGACTCTATTAAATAAAAATAAATATGAAAAGTTAAAGTTAGTTTGAAAACAAAAAACTAATTTATTGAGAATAAAATTTGATGAAAAATGAATTATATTTTTTAACCGAGTGAGTATAAACATTTTTCTTCAACTAACTTTAGTTCAAAATCTAAACAACCTAATATAAGCATTTTACCTCTTATATTTGTTAACCTAGATAGTTATGCAAGTATAGAGTACTTTAGTAATTGAGATTAGGGGTAAAAAAAAAACTATATATTTTATGACAATGAAAATTTTATTAGTATGTGATTTAAAAGAAAAAAACTACTTACATTTTAAATCAAAGAGAGTATGTAAGTATGTAAGTCTCTCTTTCTTGAAAAGATTTCATCCCAAAAAGCAAAAAACAAAAAAAAAGGACTAGGTTGGGATGAAATTATAAAAAAAAAAGGTCAGTAATTTTTTTTTATAAGGCATGATCAGTAAATTTTGTTAACTAATCTATGGGTAATTTTCCCATTATCAAATGATTGTATGAACTTCTACGAGTCCATCAAATTAAGATTTATTTACATAAAATAATGTCTTAAATAATTTTTAGTATAATTTAAAATCAAGTGAGACAATTTCTACTTTTAATATATTATTATTATTTTAATATAGATACATAATATATAAAGGTACATTTAAATATAAATGGAAACCGCTGTAAATATGGTGACGCTTGAATTCAAATTAAAACTTTTGGAAAAAAAATTAAAATATAAATGTATGCATCGTAAGAATAAAAAGTTTGAATACGGGTAAACTTTTTTTAACCTGTGAATAGCGAATACGATGTGTTACCGTGTTAGGGCTAAATCGATGAAAAAGGCGTAGGGCTCATGATGATGAACAGTTCCACTTGGAGAGGAAAAGGTGTATTCTTTTGATGTCATTATTGTTCTTGGAGTGTGCAATTTTAAATTTTATTCATATACTACGAGAGAATTATCTTGAAACTCCAATAACACAATTAAATCTCATGAAATTTGTTAACAACTGAGAAAAAATTAATAAGTCAAATTATTAATAGACTTTATAGTGTTCAAAATATGTTGTACAATATTTGTATGTAATTCCCCCTGTATTTTCCTATATTAGAATCTCCATTATTGGCATTTACGTTTTGTTTATATATGAGTAATTGATTTAACTACTTAATACTTAATTTTCAATTCTCAATAATCACTAAAAATTATATATATATTTTTATATATACATATATAAGTAAAATAAAGAAAATCATATTCAAAGATCTAATAAAAAATTCATTCACAACTAGTGATTAATAAAAAATATATTAAAATAAAAACATGTACTTTTTTTTCAAATAAAACTTGTTATAAGTTACCTCTTTTATTCAAAAATTTAAGACATTTGTTGAGGGGTTATAAGTTTATAAATGTAAACCATTTTTAATATTTTATTATATAATTATTGCATTTTTTTAAATGTCTTTGATAAAAAAAATCTTTTTATATTTATTTTAGAGTAAAATATTTTATTAAATAAAAATAATATAAAAAATTATATTAATTTAAAATAAATAATTATTTTATTGAGATGTAAGATTTAATTAAAACTACTTATATTTTTAAATGAATGAAATATTGTTTACAAATAAAATTTTTATCAAATCCATACAATTAATCTCGAATGAAAAATATGACATCATAATACAAGACAACACCCTAACATAGGGAAAGGCGGGAAGCAACAGTTATAGCCGTTGTGTATTTCAAATTCTTAAACCCCTTTCTAGCAACAAGAGATGGCTACTAAGCTAAAAGACAGATTCAAAGTTATATTATGGGACATGAAATTAAAAATATATATACATACTTCATACTTATATTGGGATTCATGACTTGGTTTCTCTTTACCATCATTTCTTTCCATTAAAACTCTAAGGCGTTTAAATTAAATTTTAATGATATAATTTTTTTTTTGAACTATCTAATCTAAATAATTAAATCCAATCTAAAAGTTTAGATCCATAGCGTTGGCCATATCTTGGGTTGAGATTCAGGGGAAGAGAATCTCATTCAAAAATAAGTGTGATTTTTTTTGTCGTTAAATGTGATTTATTTAGATAATCCATTTATTTTAATTTGATTATGATCTCAATAATTAAATGTGTTATATTTTTATTCTCTTTTTTAAAATCCGTAAATAAAAATGAATATTTCATTTTAAACAAATTTATCTGCATTTTATTGATCGTAAACATAAACTAAAATACCAACTACATATAATGGATAAGCAAATTAAGTCTTCTTATTTTGAAAAAAGGAAATAATTTTCTTATTTTTCCCCCAATTTGAAAGATAAAGTTGTTCATTGGATAAGGCCACGTGCATATGCGGCAAATGATGATGATGATGATGATGATGATATATCCTATTGCCAAGCCACCCATCATAAGTACTTAATTATAGTAGAATTACTAATTTCTCAGCAACAAACCAATATTTAAATTTGTGTTAAGAGAGTTACTTACGATTAGTGCCCCATCATGTTGTACTTCGAATACAATTACCTCTAATAAAAAATATAGATAAATGACAATAAATTTTTTGAATTACATAACTAATAATTTGATCTTTTAAAATGATAAAATTTTATTGAAGTCTATAAAAATTTCTGTATTAATAAATTTTAAATTGAAAAAACATTTTATTCATATTTAAGTTGTAATTTTTTAATTTTTATAATTTTTTAAATAAAAATTATTATTTTTTAAATAAAAATTATGACTGAAACTTATTATTTTAAAAACTTATTTTGCAATAATAGAAATTATACTTGATTTATAAATTTTTTAACTATTATAACTCATAGAATAAAAGTTGTTATTTTTTAAATAAAAATTATTATTAATACTTGTTATTTTAAGAGAGAAATTACACTTGATAAGTTATAATTTTTTATTCAATTCTTACCATTTATAGAATAAAAGTTGTTATTTCTTAAACGAAAATTATGGTTGAAATTTGTTATTTTTAATAATAGTAAAATAATCTTTTCATTTTAAACTTTATTAATACAAAAATGTCTAAAAATTTTAATAAAATCATGACATTTTGAGAAACTAGCTTGTTATTTTATATAATATGAAAGGATTTTTTTTGTTATTTTTTCACAATTATATATAATATAAGTGATAAAAAAAATATAAAACTTATACTCCCTTTGTTTAAAAATATAAGATATTTTTTAAGGAGTTGAATGTTTAAAAATATAAAATATTTTTAGTCATTTAAAGTGTAATCATTACTTTTTTTTAATAGTGTTTCTATTAATAATAAATTTATATTTATTATAGGATATTTAATAAAAATAAATATAAAAAGATAGCGTTAGTTAAAAAGTAAATAATTATTTTATTTAAAAATAAAATTTAATTAAAAATATATTATATTTTTATACTAAGGAGTGTACGTGTACAACCAAGCTGGAATGTGGTCCTAATGTAATGAGTGGGTTACTTATAATACAAGCATTCCTGAACTGCAATTTTAAGCACGTGGCATGCGCGTGCTTCTCCACTTAGCGTGCGCTACTCCACAAAAAAATCGAAAAGATATGCCCGGTGTCAACTCAACTGTTCCAACCAAAGCCTGCTCACAAAAAACAGTAAACTTGTCTGCAATGTCTTCGTGAATGCCCAGAAAAATAATATACATCATCTACAAATTAACACCTTTGCTTAATGCCATAAAAATTTCAATGACTAACATCACTCAGAAATTGCAATTCTAAACCAAAAAGAGAATGTTTCCTGCTTCACATTGAACCTCATCCAAATTCTAAAACCATAGTTTTGGTGGAATCAGCAGATATCTAATTGTGAAAACTATCATTTTAGTAGTTTTCAAGTAAAGCTAAAAAATTTGTGTTCCTCAAACCACAAAGTTCTGTTCCATTAGTGTCTGCCTCTTTCTGTATATACTACACAGTTCGCTTGCCCTCTAAAATAAAATTGAGTGAATTAAATACATCTCTCCTCAAATTAGGTATTGAAAATTATACTGATCAAAATACTAATTTAAAAGTTAATTAAAATTGAACCGTGGCCAGTCACAAATCAATAAAAGCACTAATTTTCCAACTTGCCGGTTGCTAGACAAGTTAACCCACATATTTATACTAAATTTTAAACACATTTGTTTTTTAATTTTCCTTGGTGCTTAACGACTTCATAGGTTAGAAAATTAAAGTACCAGAAACATTAAAAAGACAAGTTTTGAGAAGAAAGCAATGGACTGTTTTTTAAAAAGGGGAAAAGAAGGGCAACACTACATCTTAGATTCACATCCACATCAAACTGAACATGATCCAAACACATGCATCTCTCACGCACTCTTTCACTCTAAAAAGTTACAGTCAAAAGTTACAAGCTGAGAAAAGCAGGTAAAAGGAAACTTTTCAGGTCAAACACCATGATCTCAATTGCTTTTTGCCTTGCTTTGTTCTTCTCATGACTCTAAGATTCTACAATTTATGATTTACATAACTGAGCAGCTGCTGTTAGTGTTGTCATCACTGAACATATCAGCTGCACAGTGATCTTCCCCAAAGTAATTGGGTAACTGATGATGAGAATAACTGGCAATGGCAGGACTGTATGTATTATTATTGTAGTTGCAGCTGTTGTTCCAGTAATATCCAGTGCTAGGAGGAACAAATGGAGCCCTCTGATACATCATCTGGGGTTGCTGCTGCTTCATGTTCATCATCAATGAAGATGGATGATTATTGTTATTAAAACCATTCATGTTCATCAGAAAAGAAGATGAAGATGGTGATGGGTATTGTTGATTTGTTAGAAGACCATCATTTGGCATGGTTCCTGAAGAGGGTCCTTGAAATCCAGGGTTGGACTGAACTTGAAATCCTCCAAATCCAGAACTGTTAGCATTGTTATTTAAATTTCCACTAAAACCAGCAAGACTCATCATAGAACCTATGTCACTGGTAACCCTTCTGGGTTCACCAGAACTGAGACTTTCACTACCCAGATTGGCATTACTGTTCATTTTCAGAGCAGCCATGGCTTTTGGATCAAAGCCTCCTTTCCTGCCACCATTGGCATTATTGTCATTGTTTGCCTTGCCACCACTGTTGGAAGCAGCTGAATTCACGGGTCCATCATTTTTCTTTGCACTCTTTACAGCACTAGCTGGTTGCTGCTGCTTGATCAAATTCAGTTGATTAGGCTTCTCACTTATAAACCTTTGCCCATCACCATCATCATAGTCTTCCTCGTCATCGTCTTCGTAGAACTCATCTTCTTCAGAACTACATGCAGGGAATTTGAATTTCTGCTGGTTGTTGAATGCTCCAAGCCCCTTGTTAACCTGTCCTTGTTTTTGAACCTTCTGGTTCTTGTCATTCTTCACACAGTTGTTATTGCTAATGTTGTTGTTCTGCTTCTGCTGCTTCTGATTTGTTTTCTGTGACCAAAGTTCTGCGTATTTACGAGCTCTCGCCAGTTTCTTGATCAATGTGGCAGAATCAACACTTCCTGAAACTGTCACTTTCTGTTGTTCTGCATCTACCTGTACTTGATAAACACCTGCAAGTGCAAGACAATGTCCCAAAAAGCCTAGTGACAAGGAGAATCAAACCCAAGGCCAAAGTATAAAACCATGCACCATAATCTCTCCAAGAGAACTGCACAATCCACTGGGATCTTTCATCCTGATAATGTTGAGCATTTTATGATTTTTTTTTTTATTTCATAACCTTAAGGTTATCCACTTACTATAGCAAGATCAAACTATAAGAATAAACTGTACTTCTCATGAAATGCATTTCCCAAGTCTACTTGATGGACTAAGTCAAAATGGGTATGAATTATGTACAATATTCTTTTTTAGGACTAATGCAGCTTGCTTCACTAAATTGTGGTATGCTTGTTATATTACAAAAATGTGACATAAAGTGACTTTCATCAAACAAAGCTACCCATTTTCTTTGCATTGTCCGCACAAATTATTCTTAAGCAAACATAGAAGCAAAAATATTGCAGACAAGAAAAAGAACAGTGATGGCAAGGGCAGTAAATACTAAATAGTAAAGACAAGACTTTAAATGGAAAAACAGCAAAAGAAGAGAAGAAAGTGAGGACCTTCAATTTTCTGAAGTAGTTTCTTCACTTTCTGCTTACATCCATCACAGTGAATGTTCACTTTGAGAACACATGTCTGCAGAGAAAGAAAGAAAACAAAAACAAGGAACTTAGAAAACAAAACAGAAAGATTCTCAAGGAAAAGAGGAAAACCAAGGTTGAGAAGGCAAAGAAAAGGAAGGACCTGGATTTTGAGGAGCTTAAAGTCGTCTTCTTTAGTCATTTCTTCAGTGCTCTTAGGAACAGAACAGGTCTTCTTTAGTTTCTCTCACTAAGGCTATGAGAATTGGGGGCAAAGGTGGTTAATATTTTGAGAGTTTCCGAGAATTTTTTAGATTCTATGAATTTTATTTGTAGAGTCTAAATTCTTACCGCCTAGCTAGCCAGTAGCTGCCGCCTTTCTTTCCTCTGGACAAACAAAGCTCTCAAAAGCAGACAAAATAATGGCACATGGGTCCTCCCCTATATTAAAAAAAAAAAAATCACCTATCAAAATATTTATTAATATTTTATTGTTAAGACAGGTACATTTATTTATTTTTTTAAATAAAATTTGTTTTATTTGCAAAAAAATTTTTTGTCAGTGGACGTGAGTTTCCCAAAATAAAATGCCTAGCATTTGAAAGTTGCAAATTATAAACATTTATACCAAAAAATTAAACTTTAAATCGCTATTAATATACTATAATAAAAGAAAATTTATTATCACTATAAAATTACTATAAACTCACTATTTACATATTACATGGGCAGGCCATATTTTTTTTATAATTTAAAATTTAAATGAGTTGAATTTTAAAAATTTTATGACATGCTCATATCTTAATCTAGTGTAAAATATTAATACTTATGACATGTTATTAATCTGTTAATTTATACTCCCTCCATTCAAAAATATAAAGCATTTTTTAAGGAGTTAAATGTTTAAAAATGTAAAGCATTTTTAGTCTTTTAAGGTGTAATCATTACCTTTTTTTAAAAGTGCCTCTATTGATATTGACTTTATATTTATTGTAAGGTATTTAATAAGAATAAATATGAAAAGATAAAATTAGTTTGAAAGTAGATAACTTCTTTATTGGGGGTGAGATTCAGTTAAAAATGCCTTATATTTTTTAACGAAAGAAGTATACATATATACATACATATATATATACACATATATATAAGATATAAGAAGAGGTAAATACTATAAAAAAGAGCTTTTAAAGCTTTCAAGACAAATCTCCTCTCACATTATCCTGATTAAAGCCACGTTTTGCCTAAAACCCAAAGTTTCTAAACACATGTATTTGTTTTGATTATGAAAACAAGATTTGATCAAATAGTTTTTTGAAATTGAAATATCAACCTGGCCATTAAAAATTAAACTATGACACATTTGATTTTCTTTCTTAGGCTTTGACCACCAAGAACTCTTAACTTTTTGGTGAATGGTATATTTAAAGAGTTGATGGTTGATAAAATAAATATAGCTGATTTCATCTAATGAGTCAAGGCTCATTGGTTATTGTTGTATTCTTTATTGTCTTTGTACATTTTCATTTAAAGTGGAAGACTCTTCATACTTTGATATTCAGATAACCCATAGAGTTGGATTTGGAGGATCTTTGGATCCCCCCACCTGATACTATGAGAATTGACATTGATGGATTGGCCTGGAGCAATATGGAATCGGCTTGCAATGGAATAATCCAAGATGCAAAGGATGAGTGGATCCTTAGCTTGAAGAAAAATCTAGGATCATTTTCACCTACTATAGTTGAGATTCTTATTATTAAGACGAGATTTGAAATGTGTAAAGCACAAAACCTCACCAAAGTTTATTTATAATTGGATTCTTTGGAAGCAATAAATATTTTATCAAAAGATAATAACCTAATTCATTCTTTTAGATTTGAAATTGAAGAAGCTAAAGCGTTGTTATATAGTGATTTCATTTGTACTTATTAATTATTTGGGCATAATTAGAGATAACTTTCATCTTTTATTCGATAGATATGGCTAGTATAGTAGGGCTTAACTCTCTTTGTTCCTTTATTTTATCAAGCTCTACTCATTATCTTATTTCAAAAAAATAAAAAAAGAGTTGGGTTTGGATCCTTGTTGTATGGAAGGCAAACCCATCTTCAAGGGTAATATGAACTTGAAGATGAAGATGATAGTAAAGGAGGAAGAGACAGATTTATTTAATAAATATCTAATTATATATTGAATTAGGAGCAGGTGGAGGCAAGTGTATTGAATAAATGTCTAATTATATGTTAAGGCCAAAATGAGTAAATTTAGTAAGTAATAAACTAATATGTTAAATAAGTCAACTCATCAAATCAACACATTGTATCTCAATTAAAATGCATTCTCATGAATTGTTGATTTATCCTCATATGAAAATAGGGCTATCTAGTGGTTAGATATTTAGATCAATTTAGTTAAACTAGTCACTCATTATGAATTTAAAAATCAGGAGAGTTACATCTAAAGATAAAAAATAACAATTATTTACAAAAAAAAATCAATAACAAGTCTCATTAAAAAAATAAATACATTTTTCATTTCCATAACAATTTATTTTATATTAGTCTTTATTTGTGAATAATTATCTTTTTAAGTTCTTAGATATGATTCTTTCTTTAAGACTCGCGGTGCTTTAATACAAAGAAACTAAACATCCTTTGTGTTTAGGACTAAAATGGAAATGTGAGTTTAACATGACTGTCAACCTAAATAAGCCTAACAAGTAGCTTAATAGAGTGGAACAAAATGATCATTAATGAAGTTTTATTAGAAAAATGGATAATTTTATTTAATTATTATTATAAATAAATTTATATTTGAATTAGTTATAATTATGTTTTTCCCATTTTAGGGCTTAGGGAAGTGACAGAGTAAAAGGACGTAGGAAAAATTAAGGTAATTTTATGATAATGTTAGTTGTATCAAATCATTTTATCATCAATCCTTGAAATTAAGAGGTCAAGAAAAATAGGTTTAAGATGAATAATGATAGTTTAGAAGGTTATTCTAAGCCATTCTACTACTTTTAAAAAATTATCTCAAAAATAGTTTAAAATTTATAGCCATCTAATTTCATTTCATTCCATATCAGGAGGAGAAAAAAACTTTCAAACACAAGAAACTGAGATTTGTTCAAGCTACCCCGAACCAGTCACCAAGGAGGGGGGAAAAAAGAGGCTTTCTGATGTTGTTCAGTGCAATCTCTGTCTTTGAACGTACTTCCCTCACAAACTTTTCATTTTCCAGAGGTTTCTATTTCTTAGAGTACACTACACATTAACAAACTGATGTCACATTCTGCAATCTGGAAGCACGCAAATCCACAGAGAAACAGAAAGCAAAAGACGATGATCCGTAAGGAACAGCTAATAAAATTGAAGATTACTAAATCAAAACAAATTCCTCCTCGGATTTCAAGCATAATCTGTATCAGTACAAACTTGTGGAGATGAATATTTACTGTTCTCTGTATAGTTGCCGATAAAAGATGGAAAAAACAAAAAAATTGTACAAAAGTACATCAAGCTAGCTCTTTGCTGATGCCCAAGTTCAACAAAAGAAGGGTGAACCTTTTAGTAACATCCATTGGATAAAACAAGTTGAGAAAAAAAAAATGAAATTTGATGTCCTGATGCTGCTTGTGTTACCTCAGTTTTACAAGAAATCAGAAGCAGGTTCAAAAGTAATGCAAGAACAGTGAAGCTAAAGGAGGCATGAAGCAAAACCTAGCAGAGCTGAAAAACGTACAGATTATAATCACCCAGTTTCTCCATTCCCTCGCGGCGTTCTCAAATTCTTTTCACTCTAAAAATTTCTTTAAAAAGATATTTGAAAAGGCTATGCTATTTTTTTTTACTAAAAAAAAAAAAAGCTATGCTTGAATATGCACTAAAAAGAACAAAAGTAGTTTTCACTTATAATATGATGCACCCTAATTGTGTGATACATCAATCAAGCTTCTGATACTTCGTCCTCAACAGTCAGCACGTCATTTATTTGCTAGATCAGTGTAAGCAAAATATGATTCTATAAAATTTTAATTTTTAAGGACTCCTTTTGGTCACTTCTCCGAAAGTGAAAGGAGATTTTTAATAAATAGATATCTAATTAGTTGCATAGTAGTTAAAGCTAGTTATAAGGAAATGCCAACACCTAGTCATTGACAGCACTTGATTGTGATACTCATGTCATCTAAATCTTCATTTCTGTTATGAGCTTATGATCAATTGTACCCTTGTCAAATCTCTTATGTAAAGCATATTTTTTAAAAATTGCAAAATTCAAATGATTTTTCAAATCTGATTCTCACTTTCCGCCTATGTTTATAGCCGGTCCAATGTTTATAGCCGGTCCAAAGCCCGGGTAAAGGAGGAGGGTTGTGTTAGGCCATCAACAGCCAATGTAAAAATTTGTTGAATCTATCATGAACATGGACAATAGACGTTATAATGTTAATGCTAGGTCGTTGCCCGTAAGTAACGCGCTGCATGGCTCGAGTACAGTGATAAGTGAGTTAGAGCCGCTGCATCGGCGCCCGGATGTAGTGTTAAATGAGCAAGGGCTACCGCGTCATTCTGGACGCACGCGGCTAAAGAAGTTAGTCCATAAGAGCAAAATTAGATTTGGTACTTGGAATGTTGGGACATTAAATTGTAAATCTGTAGAGGTTGTAGGGGTTATGATTCAAAGGAAAATCAATATCCTTTGCTTGCAAGAAACAAAATGGCGTGGAGAAGGAGCTAAGGATATTCAAGGTTTCAAACTTTGGTATACAGGAAAAGTAAGTGCACGCAATGGAGTAGGCATCATTATAGATAAGGAGTGGAAGAAGAACGTTGTAGAAGTTAGCAGAATTGGAGACAGAATTATTTCTTTAAAAATGATAATTGGACGTGAGACTGTTAATATTGTTAGCGCTTATGCGCCGCAAGTCGGGACAGAAGCCAGTCTTAAGGAATTATTTTGGGAGGATCTGGAGGGGTTGATTCGACACATACCACAGAGTGAAAAGATTTTTATTGGAGGAGACTTTAATGGGCATGTCGGGAGGGAAGCTGGTCAGTATGCGAGGGTGCATGGTGGTTTTGGTTTTGGAGAGCTAAACAATGAAGGGCAAACTCTTCTTGATTTCTCATTGGCGTATGATTTTAAAATTGCCAACACTTGTTTCAAGAAGAGAGATGAGCATCTCATCACTTACAAAAGTGGAGCCTCAAGGTCGCAGATTGATTTTCTTTTGGTTAGGAACACAGATAGAAAACTTTGTAAAAATTGTAAGGTGATCCCTGGAGATGCTGTAACGACACAACATAGGGTCCTAGTCCTTGATGTGTGTATTATGAGTAAAATCCAAAAACATCGACAAGTAGTAACACCAAAGATTAGGTGGTGGCAATTAAAAGGTGAGAAGCAAGATATTTTCAAGCGAAATCTTTTGGATAAAGGAATTTGGGATTCTCAGGGAAGTGCTAACATCATATGGGAGGATATGGCTAAAAAGATACGGGAGGTTGCAAAAGTAGTTTTGGGAGAATCGAAAGGTTCTGGTCCGAGAGATAAGGAGTCTTGGTGGTGGAATAATAGTGTACAGGACAAAATCAAGTATAAGAAGAACTGTTTTAAAGCCATACATTTGTGTAACAATGAGGAAAATTGGGAGAGGTACCGTATGGCTAAGAAGGAAACTAAGAGAGCTGTGGGTGAAGCTCGTTCCAAAGCTTTTGAAGAATTTTATAAGAACCTTGAGACGAAGGAAGGAGAGCAAAATATTTATAAGATTGCCAAGAGTAGGGAAAGAAAATCAAGAGATCTAGAACAGGTAAGGTGTATTAAGGATGAAGAGGGAAGAATTTTAGTTACAGATAATGAAATTAAAAATAGATGGGAGACTTATTTTTCTAAACTTTTCAATGATGGAGAGGATTCATCTAGTAACTTGGAGGATTTAGTAACTGGTGAAGGAGAACAAAATTTGTCATTCTATCGAAAAATACGTGATAAGGAGGTAAAGGAAGCTCTTAAGAAAATGGCAAATGGTAGAGCTAACGGACCTGATTGTATATCTATCGAAGCGTGGAAATGTTTAGGTGAAGAAGGGATGAGATGGTTAACTAAGTTATTTAATGTGATTTTACGGTCCAAGAAAATGCCTGATGAGTGGAGGAGAAGTACATTAATTCCTATTTATAAAAATAAAGGAGATATTCAGAATTGTACTAACTATAGAGGGATTAAACTCATGAGCCACACAATGAAATTGTGGGAGAAAGTAATTGAGCACAGGTTGAGATTGGAGACAAGTATTTCTGAGAATCAATTTGGTTTTATGCCAGGTAGATCAACTACAGAGGCAATTTATCTACTAAGGGGATTAATGGAAAAGTATCGTTGTAAAGATAAAGATCTACACATGGTTTTTATTGATTTGGAAAAAGCTTATGACCGTATACCAAGAGAAGTGCTTTGGAAAGCGTTGGAAAAAAAGGGAGTACGGATTGCTTATATTAAAGCCATACAAGATATGTATGAGGGGGTAAAAACTAGTATAAGAACGCCTAGTGGTCAAACAAAGGATTTTCCTATAAAGATTGGACTACATCAGGGATCATCTCTGAGTCCTTATTTGTTCAACTTGATTTTAAATGTTTTGACGGAACATATTCAAGAGGAAATCCCGAAATGTATGCTCTTCGCGGATGATATAGTTCTTATAGCAGAGACAAGAGAAGAGGTTAATTGCAAACTTGAGTTATGGAGGAGGACATTGGAGTCGAAAGGTTTTCGTCTGAGTAGAAGTAAGACGGAATATTTATATTGTAAATTTGGTAAAGGACTATTCGAAAATAATTTGGAAGTGAAATTGGGAGATCAAATCATACCTCAAGTGGAAAAGTTTAGATATTTGGGAGCCATTATTCAAAATGATGGCGAAATCAGTGGAGATATTTCACATAGAATTCAAGCTGGGTGGTTTAATTGGAGAAAAGCTAAAGGAGTTATTTGTGACCGTAAGGTGCCTAATAAACTTAAAGGAAAGTTTTATCGTACTGCTATCAGACCGGCAATGTTATATAGTAGTGAATGCTGGGCTCTAACGGGACAGCAAGAGCATAAAGTTGGAGTAGCAGAGATGAGAATGTTACGATGGATGTGCGGACATACACGTAAAGATAAAATTCAAAATGAGCACATACGTGAAAAAGTGAGGGTGGCACCTATTGAGGAAAAAATGGCAGAAAATCGGTTGAGATGGTTTGGGCATGTACAAAGAAGACCAAGGGAGGCACCAGTGAGAAGAGTGGAACATATAACTTTGAGTCCGATCAAGAGAGGTAGAGGAAGGCCTAAGAGAACACTCTTGGAAGTTGTTGAACGTGATCTCTTAATTAATAATATTTCTAAAAGCTTAATAAATGATAGAACACAATGGCGTCTTGCAATCCATGTAGCCGACCCCACCTAGTGGGATAAAGGCTTGTTGTTGTTGTTGTTGTTGTTGTTGATTCTCACTTTCCAATATCCTCCTGCTTCAAATGACAAAACCTAAATAGAAGAAGTAAAATAAGAAACGATTCAGCAAACTAACTTATCTTTCAGGAGCTGATACATTTTAAAGGCATTAAGAGATGCATATTTCTGCGTTCAGTTCTCACTTCAAATTTAGCTTTCAATTATAACATGCAAGGACATCAAAGTCAACAAAGTTATTGGATCTGAATGGTCTCGGACTTTTTGTACAGATTAGTTCTAAGTTTATACGATAGCATGAGATGAGCTCTTAACTTTACACAGAAGCTGCAAATCCTTTTGTATGTAACAGAAGAAAATTGTTTACTGAGAGAAGTTCCCCCATAAAATCTGTCAAAAAACAAAAAAAAACCATAGTTTTGTCACTATTAGCAGAAGACAAATACAAGTCAATCAAGCTATTGGATTTGGATCGTCTCATACAGAACAGCATAAGATGAACACTAACTTTGTACAGAAGTTGTAAATCCTTTCGTATGCAACATAAGCAAAATGAATACCGATAGAGGTCCTACTTCTATCCATACATCTTGCTTCATGTACTCCCTGACTTCCCAATGTTGTGAAAAATCTCTAAAGCCAAATCTACAAGTTGTTGGCCAGAAAAAAAAAAGGGGAAAAAAAGGAAAAACTCTACAACAAGTTCAAAGAGGAAAGTCAAAAAAAAAAAAAAGAAAAGAAAATGTAAGCAACAAAAAACATGAATTAACAAATTCACCCGCTGGCCTTGAGTGGCTTTGAAGTGCAGACAAGAAATCTTCTATCTGGCAGCATGCAAATGATCACCAAGCCATTCTTCAAGCAGATTCCACCAGCTAACTTGTCGGAAAACTGCTCACAGATAATCTATTTCATGTCCAGTTTCCAATATTGAGTAAAATACCAGCAGCTACTTTGTCTTGATCTTACATCTCAGGACCTTCTTCAACAGCGGGAAGACCGGCTTCTTGAATAAATGATGGGTTAAGAAACTTGGCAACAAAAGCCCACAATTTATACACATCCTCAAAATTAGTCAGAAAACTGAGTGATGCTGTTACAACTTCAACTCGTACAAAGCCACCTTTTCCACCTTTTCCATCCCGACAACCATTCTCCATTGGCCGGCAAAGAGATGTTTCTTCACGATTCAAAGCCCCATGACGATTTCTTGAGTTATCAAGAATCCGTATGTGGCTCAGGAAACCAAGACCAAGTGAGATTCCTTCCTTCTCAGCCAGCTTTTGAACAATCTCAGGATTAATTAATCCCCTTTTTCTGTCCCTGATATTAAAAGCCACCGCTGCACCTCTTTCATATTTAATTTTTGGGCCATAGATGTGGACAAGATTTGCTTTGTCTTCCCTGTCAACACCAGGCAACTTCAGTTGCAACAAAGAGGTGACAAGCCAATTTATCAAAACCCGAAGTCTAAGTGTGGTTTTATTGAGGCCAAGCATATTAACATGATCCAAATGCCGGCATATTATATTTGGTTCCCTCCTGCCCCAATCCTGTTCATCACCATCTTCTCCATCACTTGTGTACTGTTCATCATCATCTAAGCTAGTTGCACATATGTCCCCTGTTTCCGATGTATGGCTAAGATACTCTTTACGGTTATCTTCCATGCTAAATGACACTCTTCTACCCTTGTTATATGATTCATTCTCTTCCAAGCCAAAAAATCTACCACCACCATATCGATTCCCTTCTCTTCTATCAAGCAATCTAAATTCACCTTCAGTTTCCCTTCTTATGGCACTCTCTTTAAGCTCACTGGATATTTCAGAGATACAGCCATTTTCAAATCGGTGATGCTGAGCAACAGAAGGTGAATTATTAATTCCTGATCCTTTTAAAGGGACATCTTGTACGGATCCAAGATGAACAACTTCACAACTTCCAGGCTCTTCCTCGATCTCATTGACATACAAATGTTCAGACCTATTACCATTTCTTGGAAACTCATTCGCTTCAGCAATATGTTCCTCTTCAGGGACCTCTTTTACCTGGTCTAGTTCATGTGACACTGATAGCACAGCTGCATCAAATGAAAGCATGTGATGATCATCATGAGGATCATGATTTCCCACTTTATCATCATACATGGGGCTACCATATGTTTTGGAAGTTAGCTTAGGAGGATGATGCTTTTGATTTCTCTTTCCATTGAACCAAAAGGGTGGAAGAGGAGAAGCTATCTTCTGCTTATTCAATTGACCAGCGTGGTCAGATCCCAGTGGACTTTGTCCCAAATCAATCCAATAAGAGTTGTCCGATGACTCATCTTCACTGAAGACAGGGCTCTTCATCAACTCCCCAACAGAAACACTCTCAGTTTCTTCAAATATAGTGCTAGTTCCATCTCTTTCAGAACTATCCTGATCCATTTCAGTCTCAAATACTTCATGGACCTGAGCAGATGTATATGCTCCAGAAAAAGCAGGCAACTGTGATCCCTGACGAGTTTCAGCAGTTTTATCACCTATCCCAATGACTTCATCCTCTTCAATCCCAGTCAATTTGTCCAAACCATCAACGGAGTCGCTCAAATACATAGGAAATTCAGGAGTGATCTTCACCATTCCAGAGCCAGTACTCCCTGACTGATTTTGAAGGCTTGCCATAACTGATTTCTTGATCAGAAGACATCCAAATCCCGTGGGATCATACCCAAACACCCTGTAAAAAGATGTGATTATAAAATCAGGCCGGAATAGAGACAAGCCAAGGGAATCCATGTCCTTGGGACCCAATGATCCTGCATCAAGCAAGACATGCCAGTTGTTCTGCTGGGCTAGTGCCATCCACTGGTAAGAATATTTAGCCCCAGTCACTCTAGATTGAACAGGGAACACAAAAAGACCTGTTGCGGAGTCCTTCTTCCTCCTCTTCTTGCTTGAAATCTGTTTTCTCAGATCAGTGGAACAGAGTTTGAGGGTTGGCCATTTAAACCATGCACTATACACCTTAGCACCCTTCTCCTTGGCACACTGAGCCATCCAAGCCACAGACTGGCTCTCATGGTCGAACATGGTCAGCAGTTTTTTGTTTGTTTGGAAAGGGTATGATTCAGCCAGCAATTTGAAAGCTGATCCTCTGCTAACAGTAAATACAAGGCCATACTCATTCTCAGGTATGTTCAAGTAATCCATGATTCTAGTCTTTATATCATGTTCCACGGTTCCCTTTTCAGCACCACCATAAAGTGCATGATTACTCAAATTTGCAGTTATCTCAGACAAACTAAATGTAGAGGACTCCCAGTAGTGAGTGGTCTGAACGAAAGAGAATAGTCCAAATCCACAATAATCAAGGCATACCTTAGGGGACAAGTGCGAATATTCATCCGACCTCAACTGATCGATCTTCTCCGATGACTGGTATTTGGGATACATTGTGAGGAACTTGTTGAAGGCTTCTTGGAGAGTAGGGATTTCTTCCTCGGACTCAAATATGCGCTCGGCGGCCAGTGCAGTGGCTCGTAGAAATTCACGTTGAGCATGAAGCCTGGCAAGTGACCGGGATCTCCCAAGGCTTTCGTCATTGTTTTCAGGCGATAAAGCTTCCATGTCTTGAGATATGACGAGTTTCCCATCTTCTGAAGCTTCTTCAAGCGCTTCCCTTAGCTTGTTTTCCTGCAATTTCCGGAGAATTGACGGGCTTCTCCGCATATCAACGGTCGATTCATCCTTCCGTCTGCTTTTCTTGTCCTTGAGCAGAGCAGCGCAATGAGAAATGGGCTTCCATAGTGAAAGGTGCATGATCGCCTCCTCCCACGAGCAACACGAGATGAAAATCAGGACGTGGACTTAACAGTTGAAACAAGACGAGTAAGAAGGCTCAGACCATTTGTAACAAATTTAGGTTCAGAACCTAGAACGCCGAAATAGAAGGAGAGAAATATGTGACCCGATCGTAATAACTGAAGTGGATCACCCAAAATTAGAGAATTTTACTACTGCAAAAACTCTCACAAGGAACCAACTTGACTCGGCGTTTTAGATGAAAGCCCAGAAAAAATAATGTACAGAACCCAGAAGAGGTTTCAATACCCAGGAAAAGAACGAGGTGTGGGAGGAAAACCAAGAAAGAGAGAGAAAGTCAAAGGCTCAAATCCTATAACCCAAACCAGATCTCGAAAATTTGCCGAACAGTCCGTGGCTCCGTGAAACTCGAAGGAACCCCGTAAAGTAGAAATCGCCTCCACCCACAATTAAACGACACTGATAACAAACGCTTAACTTCTTCAATTCTGGAGGCAAGGACGAACTCAACAAAACACCGGACAGAGCTCAGAGACCCATCTTCTTCCTTCTCTTCACCGCAGCATAATTAAAGCGAAGCCCTTCACATCGAATGCTCTTTTTCACTGAGAAAGCAGTAAACCCAAAACATGCCGGTTTTGATTTCTTCACTGTACGATTTCTTCTTATAAGATTGAGAGAAAAAAATAGTGAGAAAAGGAAAAAAAAAAAAGAAAAAGAAAAGGACGCAGAATAACCCCTGCTGCCTCTGTTTCTTTGACCCGCAAACCCAAAGGCCACACAAAATGGTGACTCCACAGTCTCCTTTGGCTCAAGAACCAACCTTCAACAAACAGGAAGAAAGAAAGGACATTTTGACTCTCACAAAAAATCAAATTGTCATGGCATTTAATGATATTAATTAAATTCAGCCTTCATGTTTACCCTCGTATTAAATTAAAATTGATGTTTCCTTGTCTATGTTGAGTGGGACCCACAGGAGCCTCCTCCGTGCTGTCATGGCTAAAGTCAAATAATCTGTTGGCTTGTAAAAGTTGTTCTCTGTCCACCTGGGCAAACCCCCAAAATCCTATATACTGAGGTTTGGATTCATAATAAATCTCAAATACTAATCATATTAATATCTACCATCCAGGTTCGGAAGAGTTCGCTTTAATTATATTTCCATTCAATTATTGTCATCATTGCAACTTGCCAAGGAGTAGTGTTATATATTTGTTGTTGTTAAAATATATTTCCCTCATTTTTTAATATGAGAAAAATTATCATGTATTTTTTTATTATTTTATTACTAATAAGTATTCTCTCATTAAAAATAATCATATTCAAATCAGGGTGAAATAATGTCTTTGTGTTCTTATTTATAGGCAAAACAATAAATTTTAAAAAGTATTTATCATTTTTTTTGAATTGTTTATCATAAAGTCATTATTTATTTTCACTAGACTGATTTGTTTTGTTGATTATATGAATAATTTAGTCTAATTTTTTTAATTTCAGTTACAATTATCATATCCAACTAATTTTCGTAAATTATATAAATTAGTTATTCTTTTATATTTAAAAACGGAGTGAGCATGATATATTTGTTAATATAAATATTAAGTTTTTATTGTGCACGAATGTCTTCCTACATTAAATGCAATTATGTTGGAGATAGAATTTACTATTAAATGTAAATATATTTTTTAACAGAGATTTTTTTTTTTGGGCCTGAATTTCATCAGAGATTTAAACTTAAGTTCTTCACATTATGAAAGATTATATCATTATTAGTTGTCGCGTTTTCTTTTATTTGGGTTTGGACTTTGGATATACGCTAGGGCCAAAGCAAAAAAATTGAGATCATTCATTTTAAGTTTCATCTGGTTCCAATATTTCTTTACAGAGATCGATTTGTTGTGTTTAAGAGGTTTTTATTCTCTTTTGAGTTTTTTTTTTTTTTCCTTTTGCCTCCAAAGGTGTTTCTTTAAGTTCAAATCTTGAATTGAATCGAATACAGATTAGGCTACGTTTTTATTCCCTTTTGTTATATTAATAATAATAAATTATTCAGAAAAAGCATATGCTCCCGGAGACTACCATTAAAGGAGAGAAATGGAGGAGCGAATCTTTGCTTTAAGGCTTTAAGTTCATTTCTGTTTTGTTATAAAGTTAGGCATTAATTGCCGGTGTAGTCCCTTTCTCTTTTAATCTATATAATCTCTTTTTTTGAAAAAAAAAAAAATCTACTCCACATAGTTTAAATTATAAATCCTTACTTTTATCTTAAAAATTATAAAATATTATCGCCTTCTATTCAAACTAATTTAAGCCCTGCTTTGGAGGACTATTATTTTTAACAATAATTTAATGAGTACTTGAAAAATGCTTTTAACATATTTATTCTATACCATACTCCTCTCATTTAAAAATTTAAAATATTTTTTAAAAATTTGATGTTAAAAAATATAAGGTGTTTTTTGTCTTTTGAAGTGTAACCATTATCTTTTTTCAAAAGTATCTCTATTAATAATGACTTTATATTTATTGTAGAGTGTTTAATAGGAATAACTATGAAAAGATAGGGTTAATTTGAAAGTAAGTAATTACTTTATTGAAGAATGAAATTTAATTAAAAATGTCTTATATTTTTAAATAAAGAGAGTACACTACCAAATTTTAATTTAAAATCTTTAAGATATATTAATTCAGTCCCATCAATCAATTGAAGTAGGTATGGCTGGATGCTTACAAATGTTTTACACTCCTGTACGTTGTTCTATAATCTTTTCGGGGCAGCTTAATTAATTGCAATAATTTATTTTTAATTGAGAAGTGAGAACAGTGAAAGCCAAGGGGGAGAAAATTAATGGATATTGTGTTGGTGGACACGTCAAGATAGACTTACAATTTGCTGCATTATAGTGTTTTTCAACGATTTAAAAATGGGAGGAGAGTGTATTGCGTGTGGAAGTGACAGGTTAGTCAACCCTTGCAAGAGGGATCCATGAAAAACCACCGATTAAAGGAAAGCAAAGCCCTGGTTTTCAGTCGGTGGAAGAATGATTCATATGGCCAAACGGGTAATTTAGTTGACATTTCCAAGATGTTAACCCCATATTTATCCTTTGAACTCAGATTAGGCCATGTCCTCGTCAACTATGCTTCAACGCTTTCCTTTGTGTGTGTGTGTACATATATATATATAGAAGTATTTGGTAATCTCTCCCATGCATCTTCTTTTTTTTTTTTTTTAATATCTATAAAAGATTTTTTTTTATCAACTATTCGTGCATGAGCATCTGTTTTTTCTAATTTTTTTTATGGCCTAGTGTCTCCTTTCAACATTTAAAAGCAATAACCCCTTCATTTAAAAATACAAAATATTTTTTGACGAGTTAAATATTAAAAAATATAAAGTATTTTTAATCTTTTGAGATATAGTTATTATTTTTTTAAAGTGTCCCTATTGATAGTGACTTTATATTTATTATATAATAGTTAATAAAAGTAAATATAGAAAGATAGAATTAGTTTGAAAGTAAATAAGAACTTTATTGAAGATAAGATTTGATTGAAAATGCCTTATATTTTTAAACGGAGGGAGTAGAATTTTATCTTAGCCATTAAAAAGTTAAAGTTTGACTATTAATTGATCTAAAAGGTTACAAAAAAAATGATCTTAAAAATTACATGAAAAACCCTATAAAAAAAAATATTCCATTTGTGAATATAAAAAATTACTAATAAATGAAAAACTAGACTAGGGTCGGTCGGTTCAACCAGTGACTTTCTGAATTGGCCAGTTGGATGGCTTGATTTATGACCTAATCTAGAATAGTGTTAACCCAAACCAATTCAATTATAACTCAAAATGTTAACCCAGCCCATTGCAATGTATTTATTTTAATAATATATTTAACAAATTTAATAGTTATGATAAAATCATGTGAGATATTTGTGAAAAGTAGGTTGTAAAATAATCTTTAAATATTAGTCGTGGCAAAGATCATTTCCCTTTGAATTAAATTCATGTTAGGTTATTTGAACAAAATTAAACTTTTTATTAGGATTTCATTGAGTTTGCTAAATTTTTGTGGGGTTATTTAAGAACAAATAATAATTTTTTATTTAAATATTATTTTAATTAAAATAGATTTGATTTTAGGTTGACCTTCGATTGAACCACTATCCCTTAATTTAGTGTTTTGATTGGTTCAATTTTTAGTATATTAAAAATTACCTTATATTTTTTTTTATTATAAGTAAAACTGAACATTTCAAGAAGCATTGATTGTATTTTTTTTTTCCAGATTGTCCTCATAAATGGAGAGTATCATTGAATTAGAGAGAAAATTAAACATTAATTATAAGGCCATTTTAGTCCAAATATTTGTATGATTAAATGTTAACTAGTTTTCTTAAAATGTATGAAGTAATTGAAACTCTAAACAAAGGGAGTGTCAATTAAGTTTCAAATTAAAAATAAATTCTAAGAGATTAATATTATTCCTTCCTCACACAAAATATCAAAATATTATTTTGACCAACCATTACTGCCAATGACTAGGGTGATTATCAGATTATCATTATTGGCAGTAACGCTTGCAAAAAATGATTAAATATTGAAATGTTAATATTTTAATAAGAAATTATCAAAACAAATATATTTCTTAATCAATTATCAATTTTGTTGCTAAACAATAATGATCCAATAATCATTCAGTAGTAGGTATGTTAAAGTAGTTGGTCAAAATACTCATTCCATCCTAAATTATAAAATATTTTTAAAATAAATTTGGTATTTCAAAATATAGAACACTTCAACAAAAATTAAGTTTTATTAATGATACTTTTCCTAATATTACCTTTCCCATTATATTTTATTTTTTAATATTATTTCATAAATGGAGTATTAATGAAGGATATTTTTTGAAATATATATTTTTATTTTAAAAAAATAAAGTTATAAAGTGTATTTAATGAATTGTATTGACATTTGTGATTTTGAAAAAAAATGATCTTATAATCTGGAATAAAGATAATATGTAATTATAAATATAGTGAGATTTTAAATGTAATATTTAAAATTTAAAATTCAAATTCAAATTCAAAATTCATGTGTGAATAATTTCAGTGACTAGCACATTAATTGGAGCTGTTGCTTCATGTTGGTTGGAAAGGACGGGAATCCAAAGGAAATTCTCTCCAGATAGAAGATACGGAAGGAGTGTCATTATGGATGAGTATGTGTTTAGGCAAGAGATTTACTTATTCTCCTGAATTATCACTTGAAATTCAATTCCATGTCCTCCAATTCAACCACAAACATAGTTCAAAGAAACACCATATAGTTCAAATTTTTTGCAATTGTATGAATAATATACACATCTTGTGCAGTTTTAAATTTTTGTGTTGGCATTTCATTTTTACTGTGTAAGATTATAAATGCTTGATTTTTTTTTCCTTAAACTTTGTTTTCGAGCTACATATATAGTAAACTTTGTTAACAAATATTTGATTTTTTTTTCACACATTTTTTTCATGCAATAATTATTGTTAAGTTATTCATCATTCCCTTCTTAATCAGGTGCCACGTGTTGTGGCTCTCTGTTTTTTTTTTTATTACTAAATTACACCATCATTACTTGAATTTTCATTTTATTGAATTTACCTACCCATACAATACAGGAGATTGTGGCTGGTTCTCTCGATGAAGGAGGAGGCATTTATGGGAAGTATGTGCAGTGGGCATGGTAGGCGTGAGGACAGCCTCATTTAAGAAGTTTGGTGCCGTTGCTGCACCCTTCACCGGTAACGGTAAC